CACACACACACACACACACACACACACGTGTGTGTGTGGAGAAGGATAGAGAGACACAGAGAAGAAATTCTGTAAAGAAAACACCAACATGTTAATTATGGTTATGTGTAGGTGGTGAAACAAACTGTGAATTTTTTTTTTCTTTTTCTGCTTTTTGGTATGTTTAAATATCTTTTTCCATGAACACGTATTGACTTTATAATTAGGGGAATAGAAAATAAACTTTAAAGCATAAAATAGGAGAAAAGAAATAATATGCATTAAGTAGCATGCACTCAGTAAATGGTAGCTATTTTTTACTAATTAGTCATTATGCCTAATAATAATAATTAGGAGTAATGGTTTCCTCTGGGACCAGAGGTTGTGAAATTAGTCTGCTGGTGGTTGCTGATGACTCACAGCTCCCTTGCCAGTGAGAGGCAGTTCTGGGTTCACTTCTGGCTGGGGTCACCCCTCACTCGCCTCTCTGACCCTCCTGCAAACCCCATTGCTCCCACCGCTGCCTCCCTCCACTCAAAGCAGTCCACAAACAGAGCCCCCTGTGCCCACAACAAAGGGGACCCCACCGTGGGGCAGGCAGAGGTATTCTCCAGAAAGTGCTGAGACAGCACATTGCCATCCCTCTGGTGACAGCAGGCCATTTGTCCAGGGGACAGTAACAGCAAGAAGACTGAGAGTCGCCTCTATTTCTTCTATTTCCAACATCTAAAATGAACTTGGTGCTGCTGGTTGGAAGATGATGAAGAACATGTCCCTCTGTCTTGAACTATTAGTACAGTGAGGATAATGTTTAAGATTTAGCTCAAGTGAGAGTTTTAGACTAAACTCTAAAATCCTTTGGGGGCCAACCAAAAAGAATTCAAAATTCTGCATCAAGGAAAGAGAAAGTGAAATCTCTAAGGAGCTGTGTGACCGTGAGCAAGTCAGTCAACCTCTCTGAACCTGTGTCCTCAGGTGTAAAATGAGGGATCGGCACAGTGGGTCCCTCGGGTCCCTGGATGTTCTCCATTCCAGGACACGATGATTACGAATACAGTCAGTTCTTAGAAGAAGTGGACTTGGACACTTTCTGGGCACAAGGGACATGCTACCAAAATGTGGTGGATAAGACAGGAAGGGACAGGAATTCTGTCTGGGGCTGACACTTATTGCCATAGGCCCAACGATGACAAATGACAGAAGGACTTCAGATGGTGGCTTCTAGAACGAAGGAAGCAGATCCTCCACAAATCCTCTCAACCCCTCAGTTGCAGCAGAGTGCTGACACTGAGCCACTAGGTGTTAAATGCCCACCCCGTGCTGGGCGTGGTGGCAGATATGGCACATATTGTATTGTGCAACCCTTCAGGAGAGACACTGCCATTGTTTCAAAATGAAGCAGCTGAAATTCATGAGGTTGGCTCATGTTTTTCAACAGACATTTTCTGTGCATCCACAGTGTGCCTGGTGCATGGCACTGAGCATCCCAGGGCAAGTAAGATTTTCCTACCCTGGTGGAGCTAGCAGTTTAGAAACAACTACAGACAAGTAAAGGGGTAATTGTAATACAGTGTGAAAAAGGCTTCAAAAGGGGTAAAAACAGGGTGTCGTGGGAACCTAGCACAGGGGGCCACCCAAGCCAGCAGAGGGTGGGGTGAGGTGGGGGGAATGACATTCCAGGCAGAGGCAACAGCATGTGCAAAGGCCCAGAGCTAGCAGGCAACAGCACTGGTGAGCAGTGCAGTCTGGATGGAGCTCAAATGGGAGTGCGGCATGAGACGGGGCTGGAGAGGGAGCCGGAGCCAGAGCGTGGGAGGCTTGACAGACAGAGTTTAGACTCGATCCTGCAGGCAAGGAGGAGCCAGGCTTTCCTGCATCTGTGCACACAAACAATATTTATTGAGCACTGACTGTGTGTCAGGACCGAGGAGTGAGCTGTGAACACAACGTCAAAAATCCCTGACCTTGTGAACTGACATTCTTTATGGAGGGTGGAGGGTGAAAGGGCAGGAGAGGGACAATAAGCAAAATAAATGAGTAAATAAATAAATCCGCACTGTGAGGAATGGTGTTGCTATGGGGAGAAATGAAGCGAGCAAGGGGCCCTGGCATGCGGGGAAGGGCGTGGGCTGCGACCATACACAGAGTGGTCAGGGGAAGCCAGTCTCAGAAGGGGACATTTGGACAAGCCCTTGAAAGAAATGAGGGAGTGAGCCAGGGACAGGTTTAAGACCAAGAGTGACACGGTCAGATCTGCTCTTCTTCTGTGACATGGAAGACGTGCTAGAAGGGGAGACTGAAAGCTTAGAGACTGAGGAAGAGGCTGCTGAAATTCAGGTGACCCTCTGGTGAGGCTACAGGTGACAGCAGAGAAGTGGGTGAACTCAGGTGGTAGATGGGGCGGGACTTGGCTGACTTGGTTCTTGTGAAGGAAGAGGGAGAATTAATCTC